AAACCATGCATGGCTGGAACAGCGTGGAATCGAGAATGTTGACGAATTTGTATATCTTGGTTCATTGATAAATGCACGAAATAACATTGATTGTGAGATAGAAAGGAGGATCGCAGTGGCTAATCGGTACTATTTCTCCCTCCAGAGAAATCTTCGCAGTAGAATGTTGTCAAGACAGGCCAAAATAAGAATATATAAAACTCTTATTAGACCAGTGCTCACATATGGCTGTGAGAGCTGGACCTTAACTAAAGCAGTTCAGAAATCCCTGCTCAGATTCGAAAGGAGGATTATACGACGCATATTTGGAGGGGTCTAGGAAACACCACAGAATTGGAGGAGGAGAACGAATTTGGAAATAAAGACATTGTTTAATGACCTGGATGTGATCCAATTCATCGTACTGGCAAGACTACGCTGGGTGGGACATGTCGCGCGGATGGATATGAATGCACCCCCACAGAGAAGAGCTATGAATGAGCCCGCGTTTGGAAACAGACGAGTGGGAAGACCATGTTTGCGCTGGCAGGAATGCATGTAGACTACTTGGTGTCAGTAATTGGAAGGCTGCAGCAACTAACCGGGAGAACTGGAGATCCATGCTGGAGCAGGCCAAGTCTCAAATAATTGAGATGTAGTGCCATTAAATAGTAATATATATTAATTTCAAATATTTTTCATTATTATTTAACATTTATTATCTCTGTTTTATTCTTTAACCAGATTATTTCCATCCTTTTTCAATTAAATGTTCATTTAATTTTTCATAATATTTATGAGTAATCTATCTCTCGTCCATTATTTACGCTTCTGGTACTTTAGTTCAAACTTTGTCAGTCAACCATCAGAGATGACCCAAGAATACATCTTCCCCCTACCTTACTACCATTTGTCCACTCTATTCCAGCAATCTGTTGGAACAGGTCGGTTTTCTATCTTATTTCAGTCTTCTTCTTTTTTTCCCCTCCTTCCTTTCATTCTTTTTTCTGTTTTAACTCTTTATTCTATTATTCTTGACAGTAGATTTTGATAGACTTTACATTATCTCAATTTTCCATCTAACTATTCTACTTACAATATCTTTATTTTACTATTTATTTTTATTTCTTATATAACTTTATATACCTTCTACAAAATCTCACACAAATGACCCTACGTCGCGCCAAAGCCCAATACTTTAATAACGTTTTATCCCAAGAACCTAACCCTAAATTCAAATGGAAAATCCTTAAGAACCTCTCTGTTGTAACCTCGAAAACCTGTACACACAGTATCCAGTCGATCCCAACACGCTTAATTCTTTTTTCACTAACCTATTTCTATCCACATCTCCATCTGACCGCTCATCTTTTTCCATTACCAAAACCTCCTTCGATCCTGATAAGTTTTACTTTCTCGATATCTCTCCTACTGACCTACTCTTTGCCACCCTTAAATCCAAAACGAATGATTATGGTCCTGACCAAATATCTGTTAAAGTTATCAAACTGCCTTCCAGCCTTACTACCCTCACTTCTACACATATATAATTTCTCCCTCCAAAATTCCATTTTTCCTAAATCCTGGAAAAGAGCCATAGTCCGTCCACTGAAGAAAGTTCCTACTCCTTCATCAGCTTCCGACTTCAGACCCATCTCCATTCTATCCAATCTATCCAAGCCTCTAGAAAGATTAGTTCACTCTCAGTTGGACAGCTTTCTCGAGCGAAACCATCTCCTCAATCCTTTACAATCTTGTTTCCGTTCCCATTATTCCACCCAGTCTGCCTTGCTAACGATTACCCACGACCTCTAATCCACCATAGATAAACAGAAAATCTCCATCTTAATTCTTTATGACTTTTCTAAAGCATTTGTTTTCGTTAATCATGAGATCCTTCTTTCCAAACTCCAAAGGCCATATCAAATAGCGTCCTAAAATGGTTCCCCTCCTTCTTATCGAATCGATCTCAGACAGTTACAAGTTCGTTATAATTCGTCTTAGACAGTCAGACAATTCCGAACAAACCTCAATCATCACCTCTTCAATTAACACGAGGTGTTCCTCACTCCCCGACCTTTTTCTCTATCTATATTAGTGGCCTTCCTGACGCGATCCAACACTCCAGTTACCACCTATATGACGATAATTTCCAAATATACCAATCATTCCAATCTTCTGAGATGCCTGAGGCTGCCCGAAGGCTACAAAAGAATATCGATTGCATCAATAGATGGGCAGAAATAAATGAATTAAAGCTGAATGCAGATAAAACCAAGGCTATTCTCATCGTGTCCAGACCTCTCAATAGCTCCCTTCCTTACTTTCCTCTACTTAACCTCAATAACCGTCCCATCCATTTTTTCCCTACAGTTAAAAACCTAGGAGTTACCTTTGACCAGAACCTCTCCTGGAATAACCATATCTTCCAGATTACCCGAAAATCCATAACTGCTCTTAAACAACAACTAAGATTCCGTAATTGTATCCCTCTAAAAACCAGACAGCTCCTTGTAACCTCTCTTGTATTCCCCCACTTCGACTACGGCTGGTGTATGGAGGGCTATCTAAGGCTAGAAATGAGACTGAAGAGACTCATGAATTGTTTCATAAGATACATTTTCGGGATCCCCAGGCGTTCACATGCTTCACTCTGGTAAACCGAGTTGAAGAGGCTTTATCCTACTTCCCGACGACAATTTCTCCTTGATGTTTTCCTTTTCCAAGTCTTCAGAACCAAAAACCCTCCCTACATCCTGGAACAACTTACTCTACGCTCCTCTATCCACTCTCTCAATACTAGGTCTCAACCTATAGACTTATATATCCCCTCCCATAATACTTCCTCCTTCAGCAAATCCTTCGTCATTCGTTCTGCTTCCATATGGAACTAATTTCCTACCTCCATGCGTCAATCCTAGTCCTCAAATTCTTCAACTTCAACATAAAAAAACAACTCCTGTTCTTGTTCCACCACCTACTCCTCATTCAAACTTCCGCTAACATGTAAAATTACTTGCATCTGTACACTGTTTAATTTCAATCTATTGCAGAATTGAAATAACAATTAACAGTAAATTAGTTTGTATTTTTATTAATATGTCACACTAAGACCTATAAATTTGTAACTCTGTTATTATTCTTTGGGGACATTAGTCCCAGGATAAAATTATTTTTTCATTTTCATTCCTTTTTTCTGTTTTATATTTTATTCTAAGATTACCATTATAGTACTTATGTCACCTTATTTTGATTATGTTTACTTTATTATTCCACACTATGTAACGGTTATTATTATTTATTTCTTAGTTCTTGTTATTGTCATTATTCTACCAACTTCATTTTACTTTAATTTTTTTCACCTACATTGTTTATGTTTCTCATACCTTGTTATATTGTTCTTTTCTTAGCCCTGATGAAGGCCTGAACTTCAGGTCGAAACGTCTGCAAATGTTAAAATAAATAGTATTATTTATTTTTGCCTTTTTATTTCTGACTGATCACCCGAATCTTCCGTCTTTTCATTATTCACGACAGTCAACCATCAATCCACAATTAATTTGAATATTATTTATCCTACTGTATTCATATTAATCAAATTATTTTCGTTTTAAGGGTCCCTTACATGGTCAATATCGAACAAATTGACCGTCTGAGGTGTATATTTTGTCAATATATTGATATATGTAAGATAAAAGACAATAGCCTTTGTAAATACCATTCTTTGAATATTGCTGTATCCTTTGGTTCCAGTCACATGTTTTTCCAATTAAGCACGCTCGCTTTGACCACTGAGTTATAGTATCGTGTGACCCTTGTCCGTTTGGAAGTGGGAATCTTGACCATTTGGTATATTTATATGACGTGCATCCGCCCTAATTCTAAAAGCTGTCAATGTCACAACCCCGAATATCAGGCAATTGTCCATCGGATTCATTTTGAACTGTCAAGGCTTCCGCCCTTAGAGAAGTTTTATTACTTTACTTCTGAATATCCTTTGTCCAGTATCCCTACCGGCACCTATCCCTAGTTGGTTCCTAGAAACCAAGATAATCACCCCCTCTCCTACTCCGGTCAATCCTATCCCCACCCCAGATTTGGGGTATATTACCGCCCTTAATCTTAGAGAGATTCATTACCACATCAACCCCGCAAAAACCGACGCCATCACATTCTCATACAAGAAAATAACTGAAAAACTCCCTAAACTTAATGGTCAAACTATAAAAACAAAAAGACATCTCACATACCTAGGAATAAAACTCGAATCACATTTATCTTTCACAGCGCACATACAACACAGAATACAAACAGTAAAATCCACCACATATCAACTTCGCCATCTACTCTATTCTCCAGGGCTGTCACTCAGACTCAAATTACTCATATATAAAGCCATACTCAGACCTTCACTTCTCCACGGTGCCCCCCTCCTACACTACCTACCTATATCCCACAGCCCTGAAGAAACTACAACAATACCAGAACAGCATACTCACGAAGATCTACAAAGGGACAACATTAGAAAGACGAAAAATGAAACACATCCATAACGAACTACAACTCGACTTTGTGCAACAACATATTTCAAGAAGACATATCAAGTTCTTCGACAACCTCCCCGCATCCTTTAACCCGCATCCATCACCCCAGTCCCCCTCCCTGCTAGATGGCAAGGCCGTAAGGGTCCAATAAATCCCACCAACATAATCATTTAACCCGCCTCACGGCTAGTCCTCCCCTCCCCATCCCTATCCATATCCCTATTCCTCCCCCCCTCCTTATTTTATCTTTATGCTTAATTTTTTTATTTTTTTAATTTTATATATTTTTCACTTAACGAGCGGAGGACCCTCAACTCCAAACATCTTATCAAGACCTTAAGTGGACAGGAAGAGATAACCTACCAAAATCATTCAACGCACCTTCAAATACCACAGGTAGAAAAAGGTCAAGGTAATTCAGAGTGTCGTTTCGCTAGTGCATTGGTCCGATATGACACTGATATCATGATTTGTTTTGTTTCAGAGGGATCGGAAAAAAAAAAAAAAAAATTCATTCCATGATTCCATCTGTAAATATTTCACTAGATGTAACCTATGTAACATTAGTTTAGGCCTCACAAGGCTAGTTTGTAAGAAGTTCACTAAGATTATGTCAATATAACATTATATTTTACAGTAAAAGTATATTTCAAAATCTTCACCGTTGTACGAGTTCGTTAATTTGTAGAACAAATATTGTTTTTTGCAATAAGTGTACCTCGTTCGATAATATTGACCGATCGAAAATATTGATGTGCAAAGTGGGCTTGTTAGGTATTTGATTCGTTTCTCTTTGGAGCTCATTGCTAACCATCAGGGAAGTTAATGTAAATCCTGTGTATGTAAATACGAGTTTTTGAATCAGCATTGTTGAGATTTGCAACTGAAGATGCCTGTGGAAATCTCTAATTCAAGGTACATCATTAGATTTAACTTTTGTATGATATTAGACCATATCCTCAGTATTAATCTTCTTGTGTTTTATATTGTGATTTTATTTCTTGTACCTGTTCATTAGAATTTATTTAATACGACTGTTATTTTATATTATTTCAGATTATTTCTCTGAACATACAGAACTGAATGGTGTCAGATTTCATTCATATGAGTAGCCTCATATCAAAGAAGGATATCCATAATTTTTAAAAAGTTGAGAAAAATCCCATGTTTGTAACAACTTCAATTTAAACCAATTCTAATGTTTTTCTATTCTGATTCAGTTTGAACATTCTCATATAAAATCATTAGAAACAGTTTTAGTTGACCCTTTATAACAAAAGTTGAGTTTTCTTGACTTTCTGAAAATTATGGATGGGTGTCTTTGATATGAAGTCACTCATATGTTTATATCCTGTATCATTTATGTCAAGGATTAATCTTTTGTTTTTGAGCAGAATAACTTTTTGGCTATGTGTATGAAATTGGAATATTACTGAATACAAATGAAATAAAGAATACCTTCAACGTAAGGTTTTATTCAACTCATGTAATACAACAATATTAATGAATTAGTATGTTTAAAAACATAATTTACATTTTTGTTAATTTAAATTTACATAAATTCATAACATTCACCTCCACAATATTCATTTATTGGGTAACATAGTCTTTTGGTATGAGGGAGGTCTTCTTGTTCTTACGCTAGCTTGTGGTAGAGGCCTATCCTCAGAAGGGTTGTCCACTGCTAATCCATGGTATTCTTTTTGCACTTTAGACCCAGAGAAATCATCTTCCTGAACAGATGGTACGACTACCGAATCAGGTCTGACGTGTTCCTCTGGTGTAGTGACGATAGGTGCCCCTTGATTGCTATCTACCTCCTCGTCGTATACGGTATAGTTTCTGTTGTTTCCAATAGGAGCTAGATATCTGTTCGTTACCGTTGTTTTCCTTCCGTCTGGAAAGCAAGTATGAGCATATTCAGCATTACCATCCAAGAAGGTTATTTCCTTTACAAAAGGATCAGATTTAGAATGGCGAATAAACTGTTTTAAGACAACAGGGTCAGAGTTTATTAGCCAGCTGGCCAGTGATTTGCCATTCCCCGTACATCTGAGATGATTGAACATCCTTTCATGCAGTGTCTCATTAGTTGCTGAACATTATAGAGAACACACAGAATGTAGAGCCTCAGGTGAAACCGATTCCCATTTAGTTACAGGAAAGTTTTTAGACTTGGGCGCAACTAATATTGTCTTCCAGATAATTCCGTTGTACCTTTCAACTTCTTCGCTCCATTACCTTGTGGATTGTAAGGAGTTGATCTACTTGATGCGACGCCATTAGATAAGAGGAATGTTTTTAATTCCTGTGAAATCAACGAATTATTTGAACCATCACTCTTTGGAATGCGGCAACATCATTAGTTACGCCTAATGGAATTCTTTTGAACTGGAAAAGCCCACCACATGCTTCAAAAGCAGTGTAGGACTTATCTTCGTCTTTTATAGAAATTTTATGATCAACGTTACTTAGGTCAATGGTACTAAATACTTCATAATGGGCGATCTTATTTACTAAGGACTCTATTCGGGGAAATGGATATGCATCCAGGAGGGTATAATGGTTTATAGTGTGAGAGTAATCAGTCACCATCCGTCTTTTATGATTATAATGTGAGGTAACGAGTATTTGAGTTCTCCAAGGAGATAAACTTGGTTCAATCACCTTGTCAGTTAGGAGGCGTTCGATCTCAGCTTCTATAAATTGTGAATCAGTGTTAGTTAGTTGAGATGATTTAATAACTATTGGTTTACATTCCGGTGAAAGACAGACATTCAGTAATGCGGGTGGAACATTTGCTACAGTGAGACCACATACAGTGAGCATGCTTTGGGGCCTCCAAAGGACAGGTTCACACTTAAGTGCTCCCTGAGTGTGAATATCATGGCGAATGACCACATCAGCACATAGGTCAGGAAGGACAGACATTCTAACATTTTTATAACAGTGACCTAACATGTTATGTCAACTACACATTGGCCACAAATCCTAGAACAGAGAGAAGTAGATGCCATTGACATTTTCCCATTGAATGGCTTAATCTTCAGGTTTAGCATATAGGTTGATTTATGTTAGGAAATGAATTGTACAGTAATTTCTTTAATTTCTCTATCTGATTAAAAACTAACCTTATTCATTATATTTGTAATGAAGGAAATGTCTCTTATAGAAATACTTTATTTGTTAAAAATTTACAATCTATTTCTAAATTTCAAATCATCTATATATATTAAAATTAGTTGATCTACAAATATGTTTTATCACTTCACATTAACCTCATCTATTATTTTGTTATTTAGTCTACAAGATAAGAAAAGAAGGAGCTTTTGTGGTTGTAGATGATCATCTCAGAGTAGGCCCAATTGAAGACTCCCTTCTTTTATGTACATTACTTGGTTCAGGTATAGATGTGTCCTCTATTTCCAGATTTGTAAGGGTTCTCTTCTTCATTTGTGGGTGGATCCATATTTGGGATGGATCTTTAATCTGAGGAGATCCAAGTAATAATTCCTATCATTGAGCATTTTTCAGGGTGGACTGGGATATGATGGGTTTGTACTAGGTTTTTTTTTGCATCTGGATTAATGATTCTCACCTAGTCAGTTTTTGCTTGTATGATTTGAGCTTCTTTCTCCTGCTTGTACTTGTTTTATTTTTTCAGTTTTTGATATAAACCAGGCCAGGATACATTATCCAACCTGGTTTCGAAATACCACAGAAAACTCTAGGATGTTGAATCATTCTTTCATGTAGCATAGCTTTTATTGAAGTACATAAAAGTGAGCTTATTGAATGCAATGCCTGTATAACACTTTTTCTTTGTTCCTATTTTAGATTTTTGGATCCTAAGATAAGTGAATTAATTTTACAAATATATCCATTATTCTCTTTTACTTAAAAATTGTCTCTCCGGTTATCAGGAGAAGAACGACTCGTGGCAATCCCTTTACAAACATAGTAGTTTTGAAGTTCGCTTGACATAAAACTTGATCCTTGATTCGAGTGTACACTGACATTCCAAAGATCAAAAATATGAGGGTTGGACTCTTCACCTCCTTCATTGTGGAAATATCTGAACATTGTATAGTAAACAGAAATCTTGAATATTCGTTGACATTGCTCAGCATATATTTGTTCCTGATAGTAATTGGAATCGGTCCTTTAAAAATCAATACTTAGCCATTTGAAAGGTGCCAAAGCCTTTATCACTCTATTTGGTGGCATTTGATAAAATTAAGGTGTGTCTTGGCAACTGTGACAAGAGGCAATTGTTCTCTTAACGTCTTCCAACGAATATGGTAGTTCCTTCCATTTAATATATATTCTGATAATCCTGGGATGACCAATGTCGCAATGTATTTGATGTAATATCTCTGCATCCTGAACTAATGATAAACATAATATTCTCGAGAAGGCATCAGCAGCAAAATTTTCATGACCTGGTCGATAAACAATTTGAAAATATAGAGATAGCTCCTACTCCCATTTCAGCATTTTATTGTTTTTATTTTTCCATTATGATCATGATTAAAAATGTAGGGTGCTGATTATTGTTGGATAAATCTGGAACTTTATTTACAAAAAAGTTCCTTACACAGAAACTGTTAAAATGGAACTTTTTAAAAAAATTTCAACTCCCTCCTCTAGTAAGTTTTATATATATATATATATATATATATATATATATATATATATATATATATATATATATATATATATATATATATATTAAATAATAGCAAATAAAAGAAACAATATATATATATATATATATATATATATATATATATATATATATATATATATATATATATATATTTTTTTTTTTTTTTGTTTCTTTTATTTGCTATTATTTAATAAGCATACATATTTACTTTATGAATAAATCATCCCTGTTTTATAAATGTTATTTGTTTAAAACATACATTTTGTTTACATGTACTTACTTTTAGGTTTTCGTTTTTATTATAAGTCATTTATTTCATTATTTATTTCTAGGCTTGGGAATTGCGAAGTTTGTGCGATTAATCCAGCTAAGTATACTTGTCCAGGATGTGAAGTTAAAACGTGTTGTTTACAGTGTGTAAAAATACATAAAAAAGAACTTGAATGTTCTGGTATAAGAAACAAAGTGAAATTTAAACAAATTCAGAAAATGAATGCTTTGGATCTTCAAAGTGGTGAGTAGTTTTATCTAATTGTCCAAAAAGATTGCGTGTTGTATTTACTTATATTTTATTTGGTACTGGTAGTGGTGGATGAAACTAGTCCGGTAAGTAGACCGCATGGTCCTTTTTACCAACCCCTGATGTCTACCTTGAGGTTGCCACCACGAACTTACCAGAATAGGAATGTCAAGATTCATTTTCCGGGGCTGTTGAGAAATGAAAATTAACCAACCCAGATGGGAATCAAACCCACAATGTTCAGAACTGGACACTCCTGGACTCATGCCCCAATATGATTAGACATCCCGACCTCTTTATTTTATGGTTGACCCATGTAATAAATTCATAATCTGGCTGGAATAGATTAATAATCTGCAGGGTAATTCTTCCTTCCTGGCTCACTTGGAATTAAGAAGATTTTTTTTTTATAATTGTGTGTTATATGAATAATATGTCATGAGTTAAATTTTCAATGTTTTTGTTTAAAATGTTTGTATTTTTCGGATGTCTTATAAAATTTGTGATACATAGCCCACAAAGGTTTTAAAAGATCGGCATAAGTATTCAGTTGTTGAGGGCATCTGAAAGAAAAGAATAAATCAGCAAATTTTTAGTTTATATGAGGATCCTGGACTCTGATGTCACAAGGTACATACGTGCAGAATAGATCGGATGTATGGGCCACGTTTCAAGTATTTCAGACCTAGAGATCCCAAAAACGATCCTACCAGGAAATATAGATATATGAGACCAGGAAACCTGGAAGACAAAAAATACAATGAATAGATGGGGTGGCACACTACCGAAACGACTGGCATAGGTTGATGTTGGATGTTATGACACACTAGTGGGTTGCAGTGCCGAGGAAGTAAAGAAGTAAATAATTCCTTTCTTCATCCTTAAATCCTTTCTGGATTGAAAAAACTTGTCAAATTAAAAGGAAAGTAGTATGAAGTGGTAAGTTAAAGGAAGAAAACTTTGAAGCATATCCAGTCTCTATAAAATGATTACTCATAACTAATTATGGGGAAAAACTGGATATTGAGTGTGATTTTGGTTAAATCACCTGACATAACCATTGATCAAGTAGCAGTATTTTCTTACAAAGTATTGAACCCTGCAGGATCCTTATTCATAGGTTGTACAGGTTAGGCCTTAAATTATCAGTATGTGAGAGTATTTCTACTTTAATGGAGGATTTGTCCTTAGTATGGAGAAATGTTGGAAAGACTACAACTTTTCTGGGTGTACGCTCTTACGTTTATTTTGAGTTTCAAACAATTTTATGTCATATGAAATATATATATTGTTTTTAGGTGGATGGAAAAATGATAAAACAACTAAAGTAATCATCATTTTTACATTTATTAATTTTTACTATTACATTTCATTTTTTGTATATTTTTACATTTATTTATTATTTATAAAATGTAGGAAACTTGAATTTATTTGTTTAGTAGACAGAAATTCACATGTACTAAAATCAGCATTCAGTCAAAACGTAATTTAAAAAAAAATAACTTATTAACATTTATTTCATGTATAAAACATTTAAACAGAATATAAATAAGATCATGGATATGACTCAAATAACAGAAAAAGGACATACTTTGGGTTCAGAATAATCTGCAACTGATAGCTTCCAAATGTCAGAATCTGGAACAACTGCACTGAGTCAGCTACAAAGAACTAACGAATGCACCGGAGCAAGCCACAAGTAAAATGGTGAAGGCGGGACTTGCCCTACCTCTTTAAGTGTCGACAGCTAATGATGGAAGGCATATATCCCAGCCACACCAGCGAGCCTACTCACTGCCAGGAAGGCATATATCCCGTCCGGACCAGTGACTCAAGTCCTAACGAGAAGGCATGTATCCTGTCCGCAGTCAAAGAGTTAATAAGTGTTGAACATCTCGAATTTTATGCCTATAAATTATGATTTGCAGACAGCCCATGTTTTCTGTTACTATATAAAGAAAATTGCTGCAGAATTGAAATAAATGATAGTGGAACATCACTGAAAAAGTTTGAAAACAGCACATTGCAAGCATTGTTGGATGAAGATTATGGTCAAACCCAACAACAATTCCCAGATCAATTTAGTATAACATGAGAAGCCATATGTTCTCCATATGTTCAAAAGCCTTAAGAAAGATCCAGAAGATGGGAAAATGGGTTCCGCACGAACTGCTGAATGAGAGACAGCAAAAAAACTGGAAAACCACCTCTGAAATTCTGTTCACTAGGCACAGAAGAAAGTTATTTCTTTGTTGAATTGTGACATGTCGATATATTTTAAGAATCAAAAGTTGATGAGTAACTCCAGGTGAACCATCACCATTGATTGTAAGGCCAACTCGCTATGGAAATAGGATAATGCTCTATGTTTGGTAGAATGAGAAGGGTGTGATCTATTATGAGGAGCTGAAACCTGGCGAAACCGTTAATAATGAACGCAACTGACAACAAATTATTGATTTGAATCGAGTTTGCTTATAAAACTACCAGAATATCAATAGAGACAACACTGAGTTATTTTTCTTTATTAAAATGCACAATCACACACAGCAAAACCAGTGAAGGGACCGATTAAGGCATTCAGTTGGGAAATATTAGTGCATGCAGCTTCCTTACTAGATTTTGGTCCATCTGACCACCGTTTATCAATGGAGCGTACACTTGCTCAGTAGTGCTTCACTTCTTATGAAAATGTACGAAAACGGTTACATGGATGATTTCCAGAGAGATGGGAAAAGTGTATAGTTAGCGATGAACAATATTTCAAATAAAATATTTTTTTACATTTTTATGCAATACACATGTATATATAATGTAACTTGTATTTTCTATATTAAAATTCTGATTTCATATTTACACACCTAACATTGTAGTGATTTTGTATCATTATTCATGTTTTGGGTTATAAATATTCAGGACGCAGTCTTTTTAAATTTTTTATTTATGCCAACGTTTCAACCCACACATGTGGGTGATCTTCAAGGCTGAAATTAAAAAAAAAATACAATCAGAGATATAATAGTATATCTCAGGCCCTCTCCTGAACTATTTTTCCCAACACTCGTATCACCAAAAAATCAGTGTAGCTAAAAACCTGATACACCGCAGTTTAACATTAACCGACCCAAAATTCCACAATACAACCTAACCAAACTACACTAGATCCTGAAATCCAATGCCTTTCCTGATCACATTATAAAAAACTTGATCAAAAATCAATCTAAACTCCCTCTTCACCACCAGTCTCGCACAAACTGCTCTCAGTCTCCCACCATGATTCGCCAATACAGATCCATTCCATACATCCCTGTCCTATCTTAAAAAATCAAAAAAGCTATAACTTCCAAATTTCTCCATCTACAAATAGTTTTCAAAAATAACAGTAAATTAAGAAATCTATACACCAAACTCAAAGATCCTCTTCCGCTCCTACAACAATCAAATATTGTATACCATATCACATGCTCTAGCCCAAACTGCAATTCTTCTCATATAGGAGAAACCAAAAACTATTTAAAAAACGAATCTATCAACACAAATACAACATCTCCACACGAAACCCGTTCACCTCAAAACTAGCGGAACACGCCATAACCCTCAACCACACATTTGGTTTTGAAAACCCAACCATACTTGCCACAGTTTCCAATCATCAAAAAGACTACTTTTGGAATCTATATTCATTAATTTGGAAAAAAATAATCCGGTAAACCATAAAATAAAATAGACAAAGAAAAGATCTGCAACACATATTCGAATATTTTCCGCCTCATAAAACAATAGCCTATAATCATTTATAATTTAGTTTTTCATCTTTTGCCATTTCCCCGTCCACTTACATAGGTAATTACTCCTAAGGTTATTTTATATATATATATATGTGTGTTTATATATATATATATATATATATATATATATATATATATATATATATATATATATATATATATGTATGTATGCATATATAATGTCTATTCTCAATATAAATATATACTATACACGGGCACAGATCTGTTTATACTTATACCACAAAAAACTATGTAATCCTTAATATAATACAAACTTATAGTATGATAAATATTGTTATTCTTAAAATATTGTATAATATATTGTCCTACGTATCATTTCAATCCATTGAAATTGTCTTTATTATAAAAATTATTTATCTAACTAAGTTATATCTATATTGATTGGCACCTCTTGCTTATGTTCATTTCATTACTAGCCTATAGTCACATTTCTGTAACCATATGAAACAATGCAAATATTGTACACATCTGAAATATTTAGTCAGCAAATTATGTATATTCTACAAACATAAATGTTTCTTTCCTTCCTCTCTGACTATGTTTACCTACCTTTTGCTATCTGAAGAAAGACAACTGAGAAATGCTCCCCTCCTGACCTTTTCACTTACCTACCAAATGTGTCAGTACTTGAACACCCTCAGTGCTCAAACCACGGTTAATAAGAGAAAATATTACAAATTTGTATTAATGGATTATATACATTATTTTTTTTTAATTTTTAGTTTGTATAGCTATTTACATATTTCATTTTTAATATGTGTATTGAAATATTAGTTAAGATTCATGTACCATCAATCACTATAGTTTATTATTTATAATTAGCAGTCGTATACTATTATATCTCTGATTGTATTTTTTAAAAAAATTTCAGCCCTGAAGATGACCCACATGTTTGGGTTGAAACGTTGGCATAAATAAAAAATTTAAAAAGACTGCGTCCTGAATATTTATCACCCGTGATATGTAGAACAGTCGACTAACTTCCTTCAATTATTCAAGTTTGAGTATTGGCCATATCTATAGATATAATTGGCTTGGAGTATGCTGTCTATTTCAATAAATGGTTCTTTAATGGAGGTGTGGAAGAGGAGAATAATTTCCTGTTTTACTTGTATTAATGTTTTTAATTATTGAAGATCTTTTGTAACTAATTATCAACTGACTTGATTTCAGATTATTTGTTATTGGAAAATGCCACTAGATCAGTAGACAGTGTTGTGAATAATGGAAAAGGCTTAAGAAAAGCAAATTTTTACAGCATGGTAGGTTATTTTAACAATTGATTATTTTTGTTTATTGTTATTGTTTAAAGAAATTGTCAATCAGTCAAAAGGCTTTATTCTTTGATTAATTATTTTTCAATTTTCAGTTCAAGATTTTACAGAAGGCCGCGTATTTTATATTCTCTTTTTCTTACTTTTGGCGAGTGTTTCTTGGACTTTTTAATAGTTCTTCTAGTTTTTAAAATTTGGTCTAGTTTGTCCTAAGTGTATCAGTAATATTCCCATTGATTTAAATCTTTATTTAAGGGTTTGTTAGATACGTGTTGAGCTTAATATGTTCCCCAAATTTTAGTGTTGTCAATTAGATTATTTTTGTCCTTTCACAAGTTTTATTAGATTAAAAATTTATATCTGAAATCATAAAAAAACCTTTCTAAATTTCTTATTTACTATTAAAAATTATTATTATATAGACTGTCTAGAGATGTTCTTGAGACACAGTCTATAGACCATCTAGAGAAACTGTTATTGTCTTGTCCAGCGTCCACTCTAGGATGTGAATTTCGCAGCCTCATCTTTGCAGTCCATCATGGAGGAAATTGTTTTGTGTGGAATGAGTTCCTGCTTAGTTAGAATTGCAAGTGAAAGAATGTGAAAACATAGAGGTTGGTGGACACGCGAAGTGCTTGTACAAGAACCTAAGTTAAATAAATAATTTAAGAAAGGAAGATGCCATGGGGTTTTGGAATTTCATCTGGCTGACACCAACTGGTTTTGAAAATTTGCTTCTGATGTTTGGAGGGAAAAACAGCCGAATCACACCACTGGTTAGCTGGTGATAGAGTAGCACGTGTATCGCCTCTAGATGCCGAGTGATGTCCACACTGCCAAATTTGTTGAGCAACATGTCTAATGTTGCATGCAGTCTCCCATTCCGATCGTGAAACTTGAAAACTGTGATTTTTGTTATGTTTAGTTTCAGATTTCTCAGTACTACAGTATTCGAGAATTCCATATGTTATTTTTTTTTAGGATAGCCATATCCATTGATTATCTAAAAGCTGGTATCAATTAAAATATTATTTAAGTATCATTGTTCTATTTCTGTAGGGCTATTGTATATCTTCTCAAAATTCTTGACACCACGCCGGTTTCACACCAGTGCTCTATTTTGTATAATAAAGCAATGAAGATGGCATCTTCCCGTACTGAAATCATTTATATCCTACTAACAGGCCATTCTTCCTCAGATGAGCACGATAAAGAGTAATATAAATGTTTTCACTCGTTAGTGTATTCTCTGGTGGTTCTCTCTCTCATACGTCCAAGTTGGATATTTGATGAAACAGTGAATTTTCTGATGTCATCCAGCTGGGTGACATTATACCTGTACCAAACATATTTCTTAAATCTCATAATTCAGGCTTCTGTAGGAATTCATTTATAATTTCCCCATCCTTGTCATGTGTATTATTATTTGTCTACTCATTTAATTTTATTAATATATTGTCATTTCTAAAGATCAACAAAGATCAAATTATTCGTTCTAAATTATGGTTTAAATGTTGGAAATTAAATGTTTCTTTGATTATTATACATGTTTATTTTGTTTGAGTAATATTTCTAGATCATAAAATGTCCCTACATTGAAAGTACTATTATTTCATTATTTTATATAAATCTTTGTACACATACTTTTGATATAAGTTAGATTCTTTAGAAATAAATTTTTCTGTCTAAGAATTATATTCATAATGGTAGTAAAAATCTTCTGCTGGCATCTGTTATTGGATTAATACAAAAAATTTTATTTATTTTACTATATCCAAATTATTTAATAAATCTGTGTTATTACTCAGTTTCACCATTTAGTCCATAATGTTTTTTGTGGTAAAAAATTATATATTTTTCCATAAGCAATACAAACGATTTTGCTCAAATTCATGATCCCATATTTTAGGAAGCAAAATACAAGTGAATAGTTAAAAAAACAATATTGCTTGTACTTTTAAAGCTTGACTGTATTTAAACATTGTGAACTACTAAAGATTTTTTATAGCTAACTAGCTTTACCCGGCCACGCGCTGCTATGGCTTAGCCTGGCAAAATGGAAAAGAAAGAAAATAGAAAGCACATATGAGTGGATTAATACCAAACGACATCTGTCATTTTTAAAAAGTTGGGAAACAGATTTTTCTGTAAAATGGCTTCAATTTAAACTAATTCTAATGATTTTTTTTTCATGATTCAACTTGAACATTCGTAATCATCTGAGTGAATATGCCATCATTCATAATCATCAGAAACAATCTGAGTTAAAGTTCTAAAACTAAAATTGACTTTATCTCTTAAGTCTCAGAAGATTCTTCACCCATTGCCTTAATATTTTGGCCGAACGTTGCATTTAAATAGGCTCATGGTTTAATATATCTACTATTATAAAATATAAGGTGAAAATATACATATTTATTAAAAACGCAGTATCAGTTGGATGTAAAAGCAACACATGCGGTTCACAATATTTTGCGATACTATTTCAATGTTAAAGATTTCCAAATATCAATCGTGGCAATGCATTGAAATTGCGCTATCCCATTTATCATAGCATTAATTTCGTGTGCATTAGAACTACCTTCCACCTTCCTCAAAAGATTTCGTATACCCCTCCTAAGATAGTTGATGTTGCTTCTTCGTAATAACAACTTGATTAAATATAGAGTTGCAAAAATTGTAACGGAAAAATAAACCATATTCATGAAAGAAATTCTACAGTAAACAGCACAACCTTATTTCAACATAATGTTAGAGAAAATAATGATGTAGAGATGGTTGACCGTTGATATAATATGAGAAGGAGTTAGTCGAGGGTGCGGTCAGATAAATACTAAATTCAAATATAGTAATATTTAAATATTTAAAATAAAATATTACTATATTTTAATTTAGTATTTATCTGACCGCACCCCCGACTAACTCCTTCTCATGTTAGAGAAACTCCTGTATCATATTGCGATTTATAAAAGGCAATTTTTAAATCGTTTAAAAATATCTTTTAAATCATGTAATGTGACAGAAAAAGAATAAATATTAAATAAAAAATTGTTATAATGAACTTATATTTAGTGTTAAATCATGTATAAAGTGTGAATCTAAAAGTATAAATTATCTATCGTATTCAAATTTACAGCATTGTCAAAAATTTTTCGGCTACTCAAAAAAATATTCCCCATTCTTATGAAATTTTTTTTTTTCTATGAAGCTCAGTTAGTCATATTAAATCATAGATTTTTCATTAAATGGTTAAATTTTTTCTTTTTGAGCGTTCCTTAGCTGATTAAGTATATATACATCATAGTTTTACAAATATACCAAGATACATTAAAATAATTAAATTCTTCTGTAGTGTATTCACTTAAAGTGTGTAAATATTTGTCCTTATAATTTTTTTCTTATAGGCACGTATGAAAATTAAAAATGCAGCAAATAAACGAAATATAGACTTACATTATTTACCAAAAAGTTTCAGCAGACATAGGAAAAATTCGACTTATTATCATTGGAAAAGTGATAAATTATTTTGGAAAGTAGAATGGATTTTTACAGAAGCAGATATGTTTTCCATTGTCGATGAAAGGTAAATATTTGCAGATGTGAAATATTGATAAATGAAGTGTTAAAGAAATTCAAACATTTATGTATTATCAGTCAGTTATTAATGTATATATTTTTATAGGGTTCCAGAAGAGGAGCTAGTTTCAAATGTCTTAGATAAATATCTTAAGTTTGAAACATGTGATTTGAATTTGAAGAAACTGTTGAAACCCTATTTAGAAGCAGATGAAAAAGATATTTTAGTTTTATTAAAACTGGAGAAGTATGGCACTAAAGCATTTATTGAAGTAGATACAAATGATTCACTCATGGAAAACCTAAGCCTGCAGTCCATAATTGAATATCCAATTTTTTATGTCATATTCAGGAGATCATCCTCTGAATACAACATACTGAAAAGAGGTATTTGAATCTCTAGACAATATCTTATTTTTATTTAATATTATCGTTTAAATTATTTATGATTTAAGTTTGATAAATTATTGTCATATTGAATATTACATTTTCTTTAAAGTATTAAGTCAATCTTTATAAATAAATTTATGGCATTTTTAATAAAGCTTTTACCTTTTATCTTCTTCTTCTTCTTAATCAATTCCTCTTCTACCGTTAGATCAGTATCCATTCTTTCCTCCTTTTGACATGGCCAAACCAGCGTAGCCTGTTTTCCTCGATTGTGTTTTCTGCTGGTTTTATTCCCAAATTGCTTCTTATCGTTGTATTCCTAATTTTGTCCCTCCTAGTTTTTCCCTCTATTCTCCTCAGAAACCGTATTTCCATTGCTTGGATATTGCTTTTATGTTTTGAGGTTATAGCCCAGGATTCACTGCCTTAGATCAATATGGGGGACAAATGTATTTGTATACACCGTCTTCTTGACATTTTTTTATACTTCTCTCTTTGCTAAGAAGCCTGTTTTAGTGAATGGTAGCATTTGCTGGCCAGTCTTATTCTTTCTCTGATTTTGCCATCTATCCAACTGTCCTCTTTTAGGTGGGCTCCCAGATACTTAAAATCTTTGACGTGCTCGAGTTTCTCCCCCTTCAATCAATCAAAGTACTCGGTCTCCCCTCTCTTCTCCTCTTTCTATCCTCATTATTTTGGTTTTGAGGCTGTTTATTTCCATGTTAAACGGTTCTAATTCTTCCTGAAGGATTCGGAGGTTGTATTGGAGGTTTCTTCCGTTGTTCCCGAATACCACGATATCGTCGGCATATGCCAGAAGGGTGAGATGAAGTGGTCATAGTTCTCTGTGACCCAACCTAAAAGGTCTCATTCTTTCCTTAGCTCTCTTCAGTGCCATGTTGAGCACTATTATAAACAATAATAGGCTGAGACTACAGACCTGCCTTATTCCTTGGGTGGTCTGAAACTCCCTAGAGATGTGGTTATTGGTTCTGACCAAGCTTATTTTCTTTTTATATGGATTAAGAATGACCCTCGCTAAGCCTGAATCGACTTCATGCTTGTTCAGTGCTCTGTTTATGTCCTTTTTTTGACCTTATCGAATGCTTGGGTTAGGTCCACAAAGCAGGTATATGCCTCTTCATTCTTTTTTACGAGCTTTTCTGAGAACTGCCCCATTACGAATATTAGATCTTGGGTGCTTCTTCATGGTCTGAAGCCGTATTGTTCTTCTTTCTCATGGGTTCTCTCAATGAATCCTTTTAGTCTCTTCTTTAGAATTTTAGAGTATATCTTGCATGGTACACCAAGCAATGAAATGCCTCTGTTGTTTCGCCATTCCCGGTAGTTTCCTTTTTTATGAATTGGTACTATGACGGAAATTTCCCAATCCCTGGGTACTTTTTTCGTTTTCCATACCAAACTCAGTAGATGCTGAAAAATTTCCTGCCCTTTTGCTCCCATTTACTTCAGCATTTCGGGGGTTATACCATCTATTTCTGGCGATTTTCCCATTTTAAGGCTGTCATTTGCATCTGCTATATCCTCTCTTATGAAATGTTCTTCATCTTCATTCCAAGTGACGTCTCTATTGATATTTTGTTCTGGCATTGACAAACTACCTGTATCGTCATTCAGCACCCTCTCAAAGTATTTCCCCCATCTATTCATTATTTTATTAGTATTTGTTAAAATAATACCTTCCTCATCTATTATGTGTTTTATAATGGGCTCCTTTTCCTTCCTCATATTTCTTAGGCATCTGTAGAAGAGCTTCTGATTTCCTTTTGCATCTTCCTCTAACTTATTTCCGAAATCTTCCCAAGCTTTTCTCTTCGACTGCAGGACTTTTTCCTTTGCTCTTTTTCGCTGTTCCTTGTATCTTTTCATAGTCTTCTATGTTTTTTGTTTGAAGATACCGTTTCCATAATCCCTTCTTTTGTCTGATTTCACTTTCCTCCCCCCCCCCTTAGTTCCACCAGGCTGTTCTTTTTAATCGTTGGCCAACATTGGTTTTTCCACAAGCCTCCTCTGCTGCTCCCAACAATATTTGTTTGATCGCTTTTCAGCTTTCCCCTGTCTCGTCAGTATCCCATTGATATTCGCTGCTGGTTGCTTTCTTTTATCTTTTATAAAAAAACAAAAACAAAAACTTTTTATGTTTTGTGAAGTGTAACATAAAGATTAAAGGTGAATGGTGAAGCTAAGGAATTATTTTAAAACAATTATAATCATTTTTGGAGCTTGGGAATAGATCAGATTAGAAAGGATATGTGCTTGCTGCATTTATACTTTGAAAGACCATATTGACCCTTTTTTGTTTAGTCACTGTGTTCTAATATTTTTTAAACTACTAGATGGTATGGTCTTTGGTTGAACATTATTTTAGCTCCCATTTTAATTGTACGTTTTTTAAGATTAACCAACTCCAAAAAAAGTTCTTTTAAAAATGGTCTGCCTTTTCCTCTTTCATAATGACTCTTGTTCTCTTAAACTGCTGAACTGCATTTGATTGATAGTATGTAAAAGTTGAAATTGCTCAAAGATATAATACTATCTATTGGTGCTCTAATCTGGCAAAATAAAATGAATAATAATTCTGTTCTTCAGCTGTTTCTTAAATACAGAGATTATAGAACTCATGATTCTTCTCAATTTTTCTTTTTTATTGAACCAAATATTCAATAGAGTATCTTCTATTTGATGATAAGCAGGTCTTTTTGTGATTTCCAATAATTATAAAAATTAATTTTTATTTTATTTATTTTTTAACTGTGACTGTAACCTCCAACTAACTTCCCAACAACCTTTAATACTTGATTTTTATATCCATGACAATATTATACAATAATAATCTAAATATTCCAACACATTATAACTGGACTGTAATAAGTTTTATAATCATTAGAGGAATTGTAAAGAAAATACATTAAAGAAAAATAAATATTTTTTAACATTAATATAAGGAGTATTATTTTATTCTAAAATATAAGTGTAATTTATCTCTTGTGTATTACCTCTGATGTTTTATGATTAGAACATAGTTATTAACATTTTTTTTATCTTTTTCAGATAATCGAAGTTTGAAATTCTCAAATAACTATAAAGGTACAAATTTATTGTTTGGTTCTGTAGAAGGAAAACCATTGTAATAATTTTTTGTAGAAGTGAAAGGTCTCACCTTCACTTTATGAACATTGTTTAGAAACCTACTAATTAATACAATTTATTTTTAAATAGTCCATATTTAATGTTTGCCAGCTCCAAAAGATACCATATTTAAAATGGTATGTTTTAAAAAATTGGTATTTGTATTTAGTATTTTTTTATATAACATATATTTTTTGTTTGAGTTTGAGATGGTTGCTGTACAAAAAAAAAAATCATCATAAATACTTTAAATTTAAAATAAAATGTCATTGACTACCTTTTAGAACTGACATCTTCCAGTAATTAGTTTTAATCGATTATTACTATGTATAATATTATCATTGTTGCTGCTTTTACTCTGATAATTTTTAGAATTATTTTAAAACAGAAATTTATTTGTTTAGTAAAATGTCTAGATTTTTAAAGAAACATCAGACATACATTAACTATACTACATATCATGTTTTTGTATAATTTAAAATTTTGTTTAAAGCTGTGATGTTTTCATTGAACTTGACACACAATTTCTTATCATTTTTCATTTCAATTTGTGTTTTTCTTGTCACTAATCTACAATGGACTGTTTTCGATATTGCCTTAATATCTTTTTGAATCGTGGGTATATTTTACAACCATATTGCTGGTTTACCAGCATTTGTAATTCTATTCATCTTTATACACAGGTGTACAAGGGACTTTCGGTCTTATTGTGTATGAATTGAAAGACTAGTAACCTTGTTCCACCCCCTTCACTTTGTCTACTCCACTTCTCTTCCACTACATCCATCATTATCTCCAGTCCCATGGCTGCATTGTTAATCAACATCATAGGGAATTGGTGTTAACATTATATCCATCAATCGATTTGTTAGCGGAAGGATTCGAACAGGAACCTGGAACTTTAAGGTTTCATATTTCAAATAAGAAAAGATAAATTTTTAGGAAGCAAAAAAAATTGAACTTGATTATTTTGCTGAATAAGTACTTAGGAGAAAAATAGAATTTACTTCTCGCAAAAGCAAGACTCAACAATTAAAAAATTATATGAGGAGCTTTGTGTAATTCCAAGCAAATTTGTGTGAATCCAACGATCCAATGATTCCCACTTTTAAATGGAAAAAATTGCTAACCAATAGATTTCTTCTAACTGAAAATTCTAGGATTATGTCATGGCAAATTGATAATCGGTATATCGGTATAATCGGTAATACACAATCTGGTTTCAGGGATTTTTCAATCCCTGAAACCAGATTGTGTATTGCAGCTTCACATGATTTACCAGGTTGGTACGGGAATTGATTGGAATGTAAAGAATTAGAGTTCACTTATTGTTCTCTTATATACCTGTCCAGAATCTTCTCCAATGTCTTCATTAGAAAAGATGACATGCATATTGGCCTGAATGACTTAGGATCATCATATGTTCCCTTTCCAGGTTTTGGAATGTAGAACAGTTGGATCCTCTCCATTCTGTAGGAAGGTAACCAAACACTATACTGCCCCATAATAATTCTAAGTGATAGGGTTTAATTATTGAAAGTCCTTTTTGAATCAGTATCGGTAGGATGGCATCTAAACCTGCCGATTTGTAGGAAGACAATGTGTTTACTGACCATTCCAGTCTGTTTGTCACAACAATTTTTCTTGCCTTAGTCCACATCTCTCGATTAAATGTGTAGCTAGGTAGAGATGGGTGTTTCTGCTACTTTTGAAAAACGTAAATGAATATGCTTGGAGCCATCAGTGTATAATGTCAAAGCTTATTCACAGTAACCCCTGAAGGCCGCTTCTTCTATATAAGAAGGGAAAACTGACCAATTTGATACTTTATTGGGATCTGGAATATCAAAATTAGTTTGATTGAGGAGAGGAAAAACATTCGTAAGGAATCTGGGATAGGAAGGAGATATAGGAATTTAAAAGATAAAGGTTTAAAAGAGCAAGTCTTGTATAATTGTTGACTAATAGAAATGGTTTCTTTTTTTGCCAAAATCTATGGGCAGAGATAGGCAAAATTGTAATCAGTAATCGTAATGATTGATTACATAATTACAACTGAAAATAAAACTTAATGACCACGCCAATTTTATACTTGATACAGTAGCACTATAATTATAGCAAAAATATGAAACGATTACCTGATTACAATTACAATCATGTAATCGCGTAATCAAAATCAATGTAATCGTAATCATGTAATCGAATCCACTGTAATCATAATCAAGTAATAAAAATCACTGTAATCGTAATCATGTAATCATATTCAAAAAATCAAATACACACGATTTTCCTCTGTTTAGAAATAGACTAAAAGAAAAACAAGTATAAATAATTTTCTATTTTTTTTAGTTGCCGGGAGCACTTTCTATGATAATACCATTGGTTTAACAATTAACATTTTCCAAATTTTCATTCGCTTTTCCTCTTTTAACTCGTGAATGGATGCTCAGTTTTTCACTGTTCCAACACTTTTCTGACTATACAGGCGAAAATGGAGAACTAGTGTAGAAAATTTTCTGAATTGTCATTCGCTTTTCCTCTTTTAACTCGTAAATGTATGCTCGATTTTTCACTGTTCTAACATTTTTATGGCTATAGAGATGTAGGCAAATATGGAGAATTAGTGTCGAAAATTTTTCGAATTTTCATTTGCTTTTCCTCTTTCATCTCGTGAATAGAGTCTCGGTTTTTCACCGTTCTAACCATTTTATAACTGTTTAGAGGAAAGCCAATGGAAACAGGAGTGGTACAAATTTTCCGAATTTTCATTCGCTTTTCCTATTTCAACGATTGATAATTTTTTCACCACTATAACAGTTTTCCGGCTATGCAGAAGTAAGGGGAAATGGTGTAGAAAATTTTTCAAATTTTCATTCTTTTTTCCTCTTTTAACTCGTGAATAACTGCTCGGTTTTCACCGTTCCAACAGTTTTCCGGGTATGTAGAGGTAAGGGAAAATGACGTAGAAAATTTTCCAAATTTTCATTCACTTTTGCTTTTTTAACTGGTGAATAGATGCTCGTTTTGTTTACCGTCCCAACCATTTTATAACTGTTGGAAATAGGGCAGTGGAGACAATAGTGGTACAAATTTTCCAAATTTTCATTCGCTTTTCCTACATTAACTCATGAATGGATGCTGTTTTTTTTTTTTACTAGATTTATACTTAATACTTTTGAACAGATTAATTTTATCATTAAAATCTTTTGGAATTTCATGAAAATACACTATGATATCCTTTAAAGCCCAAAGAGCATGTTTGTACATATTTTTAATTTATTATATTTATTTCGAGTTTAGGAAAATTGACTGAGTTTTGCCTTGCTCATCCCGCCGTGGTTTGAGTGAGATGCCTTTTTTTTTTTTTTCAATTAAAGTACTTTTTAAGTTACATGATTTAATAAAATTACAATGGTTAGTATTACATAAATATGATATTAAATTTAATAATGCCTCAGTTTGTTGCTATAGAAACTGGTCTATGGACATGGGAACATATGTTTATTATGATTGATAAAAAACATATTGGAATTTCAACATTTCTTAGAAACAAGTTTAAGGTTAATTGTCTTATTATTAACAATCTAATTTCTTTTTCTGAATAATTGTTTGAGAAATACGTAATACGCGAAGGCAAATGAACAATTTAACAATTAATCGTTTTATAAAAGTATCTTGCATTCATATTACTATTTAATTTGTGTCAGTTAGTTTGATTTCACCCAAACAGTTATAGGATATATTGTTTTCAGTAGTTCCTAAATTATTGAATTTTATTTCTAATCATGGAGAAAAAGTATCTTAAGGTTAACCTTGAGAGGGGCAGTTATAGTTCTGAAGAAAGTGCACGGAAGACGATTATTATCCCAATATTTCACTGTCAAATAGTGAAGGATTTAGTAGAAAACAGTCAAACAGGACTACAATCTCTGAAAGTTTTGATGGTATGTACTACAAGGCAACTATTGATGAATTAAATTCAAATATGGTTGCTTTGTGTGTACTATGTGAGCCGAAAGAGGTCAAAGTCAAGGGAAGTAATTTTTCCTCTTCCAATTTCATAAAACACCTTTGGCAAAACCATATCAAAAGGGATGCCGACGAATTTAAAGAATATATAAAAAGGAAGTGTTATGAATACGATTTGTGTCGAAATAAATATCGAATTGTCTCCTGACTTGTCTACGATTTGTCTCCTGATAACGTAAAGAAAGTTATAGCTAAGAATAGCATTAAGCAATCAAGATTGGACGAATTTATAACCCAATTTGTTATAAAAACCATGTTCTCCTACTGTGTAGGTGATGATCCTTCTTTTAAAGAAATTTTCGAAGCACTGCAAGTAGGTAATCAAGTATTTTGAATGCCATTTCCTTGATTTAGTGGCTAACCAAAAAAGTTTTCTCGGTATCACGTTCCACTGGATTACTCATGACTTCAAAAGAAAATTGGTGACGTTAGCTTGCAGGAGATTCAAAAATAGCCATACCCATGACCTTATTGCTTCCTTGTTACAAGAGGTTCATATGGAGTATGGGTTAAGTTTGAATAAAATAACTGCCACCGTAACAGACAATGGGGGCAATTTCGTCAAGGCATTCAAAATTTTTGGAGTCAAAAGATCTAACTTTGCAGATCTAGAACAAGATATTTTAGACAGTCAATTTGATCAGCAATCAAATGAAAGTGATACAGAAGAAAGCGATACTGAACAAGAGGTCATCAGCTTGCCAACTCACCTGAGGTGTGCTGCTCATACTCTTGCTTTATGTGCATCTAGTGATTTAGTCAAAACTGTTTCCAGTAATAAGGCATTATCAGATTTTCATAGCAGAATCATGAAAAAATGTAACACTATTTAGAAGGCTTTGAGAAAACATAAACAATCAGAAATGATGTATTCTTTAGTATCAAAAACGATTGTTAGACCTGTGGAGACAAGATGGAATAGCTTGTACGATTCTTTAAAAGATATATCCAGGATCAAACCACATGCAACGCAACTTTTTCGTACTTTAGGAGTAAAAGGGCCATTGACTGATGATGACTTCGAATATATTGAGGAGTTCATCGCATGCTCAACTCCAATAGCTGAAGCATTGGACATTCTCCAAGGAGAAGAATGT